CAATCCTGTCATAACTTTGTAAGTGAAGGATTTTTAGAAATTACACATTCCTTATATGAAACACTGGCCCAAAATCTAAACATACATTCAGTTACTGATTTGGGACTTAACCATTTTAAACAAAATTTCTTGATTCTGCTTTAAGGTACATATTGCATTAGCTGATAAAACATATGATGTAACTAATTGCAATTGCCTTCCATGTATATTTGTCAAGGGAATGTCTGCAGAGAACATTTCTTTATGTAAGGCAGTATCATATGAAACTTCCATCTTTAAGTTGGTCTGACTTCAGTGGGCCCTTAGGGCTCTAGTACCCTGAGTCAATGAGAAGCACAGGGACTTCAATCTGACGTATTTATCCACTTAAAAACAAATGCCTGCTAAACATGGCGCTTTGTGAGTACCTCATACAGAGAGTTTGTTGTCGCTACAGTAACTAAAGCCTGGAAGCAGATGCAATTCTTCCTTGCCCTCTGGAGGCTGGTCATCCCAGGGGGGATCAGGGCAATATGAGGAGGAGGAATATGTCCTTCCTAATGAATAGAGCTGACACTTATTCTGATCCTAGAGTTAGGAAATGCCCACATTTGTCCTCATTCCACACACAACCAGAACAGGAGGAGATGCAGACAGGCAATTTTTTTACCCCAACTGTACTAGTTGTTGTGTTAGTGTACCAATTCTGTCCAGATCCAGTCGGCTTAACTTATGAGAACTTGACAAGGTAACAGGCTAGAAGCTGAGGTAAATGATTGTTATATTTATTGCAGCATATATTCCAGGGCACGAGTCTTGGCCAAACTGGAGCTTAGGTAGAGACAGTAAGCAAACATTATAGTTTGTGTTTTTTAAAACCATTAGAAAGCCAGGACATTCTAAGTTAGGGTTAAATTTTGTGTTTTTCCAACCCTGAACCTCCAGTTCTCTTCAGGTGATATTGCATCTCCTCAAGGACTCTTGAATTTGACAAGTTTGAAGTTTCCTGACTGACCATTTTTGAGAGATAATGTGACCAAAAACATCAGCGTTATTTTCAAAAACGTGGATCTTTCTTTTAAATCTCCAAATATCACAAACAGCCTGAAAACTTTGAAAATAAAAGCACATGTTCCTTGGCTAAAGAGAGCATGTGCAAACTGCCAGGCCCAATTAACCTTTTAAAGGTATTTGAAGGGGAGGACTAGAATCAAAATGCGCTTCATAAAGCACAGATCCAGTAATCTGATCCATGTAGATAGTAGAACCCCATTGAAGTCAGTAGAGCTCCTTGTGGCTGCAAGGGTCTGCCAGCCTGCCTGCCCACCCACACAGATCAGATTGCAGCACTGGGCCCTGAACTAGCTGCTACCATACCGATGGAGAGATGTCTGAATGCCTATGACCAGGGACAGTTGATCTCTGGCAAGATTATTCCTGACATTGCCTGTTCTGCATGGCACTACCTGCTTTTAGATTCTCATACCCCAAACCCTTATTATGAGGTCCATTGATCAGTATTGTCTTGATGCTGCTGGATGTATTTCTATAGAAAATCATTAACCCCTGCCTATCACAATGGGGGAATCAACATCTGCCTAATGCTACTGTCTAAAAATAATAGGGTAAAAGCAGTGTTCATATTGTCAGATAATCAGTTATCCAAATTAGTGAGACAGAAGACTTTTTGCATGTTTTACACTTGCAGCCTTATTACGATAGAATATCCTTTCAAATGAAGGATCACCAAGATGTGTCAGGTTTATCCAACTTCACTAGAACAGGATAATTCTGGTACAATCAACAGTGGTAAGATTAATGTTGACAACTAGGCAATTATATCTAGTAGACTGTGTGTTGTTGCAGTGACTGAATACACATATCTCAAACCACTGGGAAATAGCTGCCAAGGAGAGCCGGAACAGTACTTCCCAGTGGCTGGTCACAGACAAGTATAGGTCGCATGACAACCAGAGTGTGGCACATGATAGGAGAGGGAAATGTGAAAGACTAGCTTGCTGCCAAGCCCACCTGGTGATCTTGTCCTAGATGCTTATTGCATGAATACATGGAATATGCCCATTTTACTGCCTTCTTTCCTTTGTGATCTCAGTGTAATATTGTAGCTATGGTACCAGCTGCTCCAAGTATGATGAGAACTCTGCTGCTGCCTCCAGCTCATGTGTCTGCAGATTCCAGGCCATTGCTATCTGCATTTACCTTTTGATGACTGCCTTCAGGAACCCAAAGGGCTAGATACTCTTGCATAAAAATATAGGTTCCCTAAGAAACATAATTGGCAGGTAACCCTGGGGAGAGAGCATGTGTGCGGACGCGCGCACACACACACACACACACACACACACACCCAATTGATGGAATTTTCCAACTGGTCCTTGCCCATAACTTAGTTCAGAACACAATCTCTTCTAATGTCCAAAGCACTCATTGGCAAATGACAGTTGGGCACCTGACTTCCTTTGAAAGTCAATGGGCGTTAAGAGCCCAATTACCTTTTATGCATTTGAAAATCTCCCCCTCTGCTGTTACAGGGCTGTCTATGTATCTGAAAGGTTAAAATAAAACCATTTAGGTTTGATAGGTGAGAGGTGTCAAACTTTTTTATTAGGTGTGAAATATTTTTCATATCACTTCTTTGCCTTCCTAGCACCTTCATTATAGGATCTTAAAGTACCTTAAAAACCTTGAATCTCACTTTGTCTCTGGGCAATGTCCTTATACAGTGGAATCAATGAGGCACAAGAGGGTAACTTGAGCTAGTGGCTCAAACAGTAAGAGAACTAAAAAGGTCTGATGCCCATTCCCCTGCTCTTCCTTCCTGCCTTCCTCCACGCTTCTGTGGTCATACGGTAGTGACTAAAATAAGTGTGACTACCTTTTGCTTCCATTAGCACGGCTGATCCCCTGTAGTTATGGGAAAAGGAGCGGGATTCTGCTGTACACATCATCCCCAGCGTTATGAGCTACATTCCCACTGTAGCATCAGATTCTACCTTCCGTTACTTATAGCTGTGTCTGTCTGTTTTCAGTGGGGCTGAACATGTGTAACTGATGCAGAATCTTTGATGATTCGTGAGCCAGAAAGAACTCTGGTCAGCTTTCAATTCCAGATTGAGTTTGCAGTAGAGGGAATTAAGAAAATTTTTGTCTCAACCACTCCAGAGCAAATTTGCTGAGTTAACAAATAAAAAGAAAGATACAGTGCCCCATTGCCATTTTCAGAGCAGTATCCTAGCTTGTGGGCTGCGAAGAATGATGTGTAGGCTTCCATACTAGCACGGGAGTATGTCACGGTGTTTATATGCATGAACCAGGATGTTAGTTCAGTTGGTTTGCCCTCAGACAATAGCAACAAAGTAAATGGAGAGATGTTCATCAACAGATTTCAGTGTTAACCTCCCAAGCAATAAAAATAAGTATTATAAACAAAGTGTGGAAGAAAACCCAAATCATGGCTCATAATTGACTGACAATTACAGTGCAGCTGTAGCCTAAACAACAACAGCTCCACCTTGTGGCTGTCACGTGTGCTTCCTAGCAGTGCACCTCTTGTCTCTCTGATGTCCAAAAATGTCTTTTAAGAGTGACTACAGTATTGTTGCTTGTTTAATTTAACTTTCATTATTTTGCAAATGCCACTCTACTCTTCTTCAAAACAGCTCAGTCCTACTTCCAGATCAAAGAAGTTGCCTCAGGGCCGGACCATTCCACCAATGGGACCTGAAACCAAGGTGTCTGTGGTCTGGGTTGAACGTTATGATGATATAGGTGTGTAGAACTTCTGCTTTTTGTAATGAATTAATGTAATAACAGGGCCAGTAACTGAGTTATATGTGAAATATTTTATTAAATAGAGTTTTGTTTTTAGGTACACCTCTACCTCAATATAACGCTGTCCTCGGGAGCCAAAAAATCTTACCGCGTTATAGGTGAAACCACGTTATATTGAACTTGCTTTGATCCATTGGAGTGCGCAGCCCCACCCCCCTGGAGCACTGCTTTATCGCGTTGTATCCGAATTCGTGTTATATCGGGTAGTGTTATATTGAGGTAGAGGTGTATATAGTAGATTGTGATTTACCACAGTAGTTTGCATTTAAATTATCTAAACTTAATTGTTTTGATTTCTGTCCAAATTTTTATAAGTGAATACTTAACCTGTACTGTAAACCTCTTTTTCTTCCAGAAAACTTTCCCCTCTCTGATCTGGTTTCTGAGACCAGCACTGGTGTAGAAACTACATCAAATAGTAGCACTTCCCTAAGGTATGACTTTGAATTTCTTTTCATTACATTTTCTCTACTTTTTGCAAGCAACTGAATAGTTCCTGACTGGCTACATTAGCTTTCTTCAGTTTTCTTGAGACAGCTGCGTGAGAATGACGTCAAAGATGCAATCTTGTTCAGAATGATGCAGTGAGGCTCTTCAAGTGGTTTTCCAGTCTTCCCTTTTCTCTTTTTCTGGCCACTAATGGAAGGACTCTTCTGTTGCAGGGGTTAGAACATGAGGCTGGGAATCAGACAATTTGGGGTTTTCTCTCTGGCTATGTGACCGGCCATCGAAGCTTCTCGGCCTCTGTTTTACTCACTTACAAAATGGCTTGAAACTTATTAAATTGGTGTCTGCAGCACTTTGGACTCTTATGATAGAAGGAGATATACAAGTGCTTTATTATAGTTGATCCCCTTCCTCCCCCCATTCTTAAGTACAGATCATGGGACAGTGGAAACCCTTACGGGCCAGGCTCACAGGCACCTTTTTGCTGGCATCCTAAAAGGTTGTGGTACTTCCGACAGCTACATGGTGTACAGTATGATTGACCATCTCGCACAAAGAAAAGCTTGTTCTTCTTCGAGTGCTTGCTCATATCCATTCCAATTAGGTGTGCGCGCGCTGCGTGCACAATCGTCGGAGAATTTTTACCCTAGCAACACCCGGTGGGTCGGCTGTGGAGCCCCCTGGAGTGGTGCCTTCATGGCGCTGGATATATATCCCAGCCGACCCAGCGCCCCCTCATTTCCTTCTTACTGCCCAAGATGGTCGTTGGCACTGTGGAGCGCGGCATAGCTGTCCTCCGCTCTCCCTAGCTTTTACTTCCCGGTTTAGATATTATTATAGTTATATAGTTATAGATTTAGTGTAGTACAGTAGTTGTTAGTTATAGATTTAAGTTTTAGTGAAGTTAGCGGGCTGGAAGGGGTCCCTCCCCCCCTTCCTCCCGGCGTGCTGCCCGGGCTCATGCCCAAGGCTCTGGGCTTTAAGCCGTGCTCAGCCTGTTCAAAGCCTATGCCAACGGGAGATCCCCATGACTCTTGTTTAAAGTGCCTCGGGGAGTCTCACCAGACCGAAAAGTGCAAGATCTGTAAGGCTTTCAGGCCTCGAACCAAAAAGGAGCCAGACTTTAGACTCAAACAGCTCCTATGGAGGCAGCCCTCAGCCCGGATCCTCCTTCAGCACGCCAAGTTCCAGCACCGAGTGCCTCAGTGTGCAGTGCTCCGGCGGCGACTTCCAGTACTGCACCGCAAGGAGATGTGGATAGAGTCCCACGGCACCGGCCTTCACCAGCACCACATCCACTGCAAGCATCTTGGCGCCGGTCCTTGTCCCCAGGTCAGAAGAGACCTCACAAATCAGAGGGGACTGCCTCCCAACAACAGGCACCGGCACCCCCCTTACCTATCTCGGATGCGCGTCCGGGACCAGAGCGACTGAGGATACAGGCGCTGATATCGGCACCGTTGACTCCGACACCGGCAGAAGGGCCGTTGAGTCCGGCGCGGACTGGCTTCCTGACCCGCACCGTGGTTGAGCCCCGTCTTCCATTGACGCTGGAGACGTTTGCGACGGCTAGGGACCTCATTGCCCTTACAGAACCGGCACCGACTCAGGCTACGGTACTGCATCCCACCCGTGCGGTGCAGTCTAGGGGCAAGCCAGCCCTATTACGTCCACCATCTCTGAGCGTGGACTCTCGGCACCGCTCCCGATCTAGGAGTAGGTCCCGGCGCCACTCGTAGTCCCGGCACCGTTCTCTATCACGGCACCGGTCATACTCACGGCCCAGATCTTCCTCCCGGTACCGTTCCGCCTTGCGGCACCGCCTCGGTACCGTTCGAACTCCCGACGCCGCTCCCGGCACCGGTCAGAGCGCCGATCCTGCTCGAGAAGCTGCTCCCGGCACCACTCCTACAGACGGTCTTCATCGCGATTCAGGTCTGGATCTCGGAACCGGCATGACCATCGACACCATTCTCGATCCCGGTACCGCTTCCTGGCATCACGCAGAGACAGTTCTCCTGTGGGCCAGCACCGTTCGGGACCGTTCCCAGGGGAATCAACGCACACATGCTCCGCACCGCCCTGGCCCTCACGATCCGCCTCACGCTCTTCCCAGTCGGACGGCGCCTCCTGCTCAGCCTATCCCGCACCGGGCCAAGCAGCGGACAACCTGGGTCACTGGCAGGATGAGGCCAAAGACCCTAGCCAGGAGCCTGCACAGTGTTCTTTCTGGACCCCATGGGCGTACCACCAAGCCCAAGGGGTTCCACCTGCGGCCTCCTGCTCAGCACATTCAGACTCCCGAGTACCGGAGGCCACCATCAGTCGTCCCCCCCTGGGGGGTAAGGAGGCTCCTTACCCACTCCTACGCAGGCCCCAGACCCCGGTACAATTGATCCTGAACATCAGGACCCCTCGCAATTGGACCCGCCACAGGGTCCATTAGCCCCGGTAGCATCTTCTCCAGATGAGGTGGGGGGGGGACGACGACACCCACCCCACCCCCCCGATAGACCTACGTGCTCACCAAGACCTTTACATAGGGTGGCATGTAACATGGACCTCCAAGCAGACGAGATAGTGGAGTTGGAGGACCCGGTGGTGAGCATCCTTTCAGCTGACGCCCCGTCCCGGGTAGCGTTGCCCATCATCCGCACCATTCAGGCCAACGCCAAGACAATATGGCAGACCCCTGCCTCTATCCCACCTACTGCCAGAGGGGTGGAGAGGAAATACTTTGTTCCCTCTAAGGAGTATGAATACCTGTATACTCACCCTCAGCCGTGTTCACTGGTGGTGTCCTCAGTGAACTCAAGGGAACGGCATGGTCAACAGGCCGCAGCGCCCAAATCTAAAGACACCAAGTGCTTCGATTTGTTTGGATGCAAAATTTACTCAGTGAGGGGCCTACGGCTCAGAGCTGCAAACCCAACTGGCGCTCTTGAGCTGTTATGATTATAACTCGTGGAACTCCATGGGTAAATTTAAGGAGTTGATTCCACGACAGTCCAGGGATGAGTTTGGGGCTTTAGTGGAAGAGGGCAAAAAGGTGGCTAGGACATCCTTACAGGCCTCTCTTGATGTAGCAGAGACTGCTGCTAGGACCCTGGCGTCGGGCATAGCTATGCGACACATCTCCTAGCTTCAGGTGTCTGGCTTACTGCCAGAACTGCAACAGACCCAGCAGGATCTACCATTTGATGGGCAGGGCCTATTTTCGGACAAAACAGACTCTCGGTTACAGAGCCTAAAAGACTCCAGAACCATCATGCGCTCCCTGGGGATGCATATCCCAGTTACCCAGTGCAGGCCCTTTAGACCACAGCCTCAAAGGTTCTACCCTCCCCCTTGTCCAAGGCAAGACTTTTACAGAAGACGTGGACAAGGTGGTAGAAGGAGATCCACTGGCCACAAACCCGGTCAGAACCAAGGCCCTCCTAAACCATCGTCAGGGCCCAGGCAAAATTTTTGAAGGTGCGCCCGAGGATGGCGTACTAGTCACCACCCAGGATCCTTTCCTTCCATTTCGAGATCGTCTCTCCCATTTTCACCATGCGTGGTCCCTTATAACTTCAGACCAATGGGTTCTTCGCATGGTGGAAAGGGGATATTCTCTCCAATTTTCTTTTCCCCCATCCCTCTTCAGGGACCACTCACACGAGCAATTCCTTATACAGGAGGTCTTTACACTCCTGTCCATGGGAGCGATTGAGGAGGTTCCATCAGAGCTAAGGGGCACGGGGTTTTACTCCCGCTATTTCCTAATCCCCAAGGCAAAAGGGGGACTTCGACCCATATTAGATCTGTGCGGACTCAACAAATTCATGGTAAAGTTCAAGTTCCGCGTGGTCTCATTGGGGACAATTATCCCTTCCCTGGATCCTGGAGACTGGTATGCCGCCCTCGACATGAAGGACGCGTATTTTCACATAGCGATTTACCCTCCGCACAGGCGCTTCCTTCGCTTTGTGGTGAACCACGAACATTACCAATTTGCCGTCCTTCCCTTCGGGCTGTCCACGGCTCCGAGAGTGTTCACCAAATGTATGGCCGTCGTGGCAGCCTACCTTAGTCGTCAACGGATACAGGTGTTCTCGTATCTCGACGACTGGCTCATTCGGGGCCACACCAGGGAAGAAATGCGATTCCCACGTCCAACTCACCCTAGGCAC